CCCCACAGCGAGCGACAGTCCTCTCTCGGACCCCTCCATCGGTGGCTGATGGTGATGTGATCTATTTGGGTCCAACGTTGAGACAACTTTGGAGGTCGCCAAGTCAACAGTTGCTTTTCCTTATGCCTAAAGTCAGTGTTTGCTAAGAATAAGCGGTTGTCTGAGCATACTTGCAACAGACGGTCACCATTTTCTGTTCTCTGAGCCGCGACATCATATCATCCACCTAGGTGTCTTTCATTTTCACTTAGTCTACCTACTTGAGCAATAAAGTCACCAGCCATTATTACTATATCAGAGTGCCTAGCTTTTTGGAGGAGGTCTGAAAGCTTTCTGTAAAACTCATCTTCAACCTCCTCTGAACTGCAGTCAGTGGGGGCATAGGCAGATACGATGAAGAGGCAACGGCGATTGTCCCTATCTTTCCGAGTCCTTACCGTCCCGTTTAGTCGGACAGCGCACAAATGACTATCTACTGGGATCCAGTCTAGGAGAGATTGTTCTGCCTTACGACTCAATGCTATGCCTACACCAGCAAGACCCCTGGAAGCAGCATCAGGGCTACCGGATACACGAAGAGTAAATTGAGCTGCATCTTTATTTTGACAAGGTGAAATCAGATTGATAATTTTACTAGGATCCTGTATGCGCGTTTCCGAGATGCAGCATACATCGATGGCACGAGATTCGAAAGTCCTATCTAATGATGCCTGGTTCCCTATTTGACACAATGTTCGTACATTAAATGCTCCAACATGTAGTCTAGAGCGGGGTTTAAGGAGATCAGGAACGACGTTTCGCGAACTCGCATCGTTTGCATTAGCTGTGTAGTCTAATGAAGGAATGTTAGAAGAGTTAGTCGTGGAGATAAGAGAGGTACTAGGGGATGTAGGAAGGATTTGATTTCAATCAATTTGGTCTCGTGTTACGGGTATGAGGGCGGTTGTCACTTACCGGCTGCCCACACTGTGGAAGGTTGTTTCTTGAGGAACCTGAAAAGGAAGATAGATTACTGTTGGTCTTAGAGATCTGGGTGCGTGACCGCAGAGCCCAGGGGACAACTGCTTGAGGTCGGTCACGCACGGTTTTTTGAGTATTAGCTCCGTTCTTAAGTGCCCTTGGTGGGCACCCTTACCGACGGAGACGGAAGTCCGTGAGGTAGGGTGAGGTGTGACATTTATAGGGTCCACCTTTTCTAACCCTTCCTTCCTTGTGAGAAGGCAGCATCGCTGCAGATGTGGATTGTCCGAGGGAAACACCTTACTGTTGTCACACCCCTCTGCAGTCAGCAGTACGACTTCGCCCTCAGACCTTGAGTAGCTGCTTTTAGTCTCATCATTCTCCAGTCGACCTGCCTGGCACGGTAGAACCTTCAGGAACATATGTTCCAGCCAATATAGCTCGGTTGGGTCATCACGATAGGCAAGCCCGACCACCACGTCAAGGTAGCAGCTACGGTCGGCAAGGTCATAGACACGGTTGACTTGGAAATGTAACATCACTATCCTTTATTAGTTACATCCTGCTATATCACAAGGAAACGTAAGCAAACAAAATGTTCTGCCCCATAGACATGAGTGGATTGAGTTTATTGTCCCATCGTCATGAATGCTATTCAGATATACCGCCCTTCTTCCGTTTGTGATGTTCGGCTCTTACGTTTTATGGAATGTTTTCAATATTGTTTTAACCTAAGATTTTTCGCACACCTCAGAATACACGGACTTGACGAACTCCATGTTACAAGCAAACCGAACAACTTTAGCTTCTATATGAGTAACTAGATAATCATGCGATATATCACACTGCCATTGAGTTCACTAGTGATATATATTTCAGAATATGTGTAAGTTAATAGATAGTTTTTAAATAGGGATGATAGGCTGTTGATGTAAGAAAATGGGGGAAAATATTGCTAACGATTCAAGAGTAAGGCAATAATGAAATACGTTTGTGTGTTGACGAATGCGGGAAATAAAAATTTATCAAATTGTTATTACATGAACAAGGAGGAATTCATAATGATACAGGAAGTTAGGGTCCCTTGTAATCGACAGTAGTTGAGCAACATCTACAGGCTTTTCAATTTATCTTCCTACTAGAAATAAAACCTGAAAGTTCTGTGAAAGAGAGAAAGATAGTCTTGCGATTCTAAGTTTTTAGAAAACTCCGAATGTTACGAATAGCTCCTCAGTGGCGTGACCTACTACAGTTAGTGAGAGTTGGTGAACTTGTCTACCATTTCGTGATGCCTGTATGAATGGTAGTGTGGGTGCAATATATTCATGGTCTGTTATCAGGGTTGTGGTTCCTTATTGGGCAAGATGTTACAGACTGGAGGTCATATCTTGATTTGCAGAAAGACAGTGGGCTGTTTGCAGACCGACGGCACCATAGAGGTTCTAGCGAGAGATGTTTGCATCTTTCTGTGTAGTCAAGTGTACAGTTTCGTCCTCGCAGCCATCATGTAAATCTTCTCGTGACATTTTCTACTTGTATTGTGTGTATGGTATTCATGTTTTGAAATATAGGTGAGCAGCACTCGAGGAAGGGACTTATACACATTTCGAACCGTGTAAGCTTAGCCACATTCGTCAGGAATTTATATTTGTAAACCCCTTAGCCATCAACATTTAGAGATAATGGAAGCTGTATGTTCTTCAAATTGTAGGCTTACGGAGTAATGAATACCCAAATCATGCGCTGATATGTGTCTGAACCGTAAATATTTGTACGTAGATTAGTATTTCATGGTGATGCTTATGACATTAGGGCCCCTTTGTCGAGTGCGCATTGATATCATGGGACCAGTGAAATTGACAAAAATGTAAATCGCTATGTACTTGTTACGGTGGATCATTTTACTAAATGGTGTGAAGCAGTAACATTTCTTAGCAGGACGCGTGTAAGATCCATTTTGGAAAGCTTTGTTTATGAAAATCACTCCACGTATACATTTGCAATTTGTCCTTATTGATTTCTTCAGTTGTACATTTTGTAGGATTTTATTTGAGATGATAATATTTGTATTTTATTGTAGTTTCTATTTTTGTGCCTTTGCTGAGTTTCCATGTATCTTTCCGAACTGCATTATGTTTATTAAGCTGATACTGAGTTATGGCGGCAGCCATACTGAAATTGTTCCTCTGTTGGCTGAAGCGCTCGCACTGACTGTAAGTGTGCAATTTGGATTGGAAATTGGCGCACAATTACAGAATTGGAAACACTGTGCGTTGTAAGATGGAAAGAATATCATTCATTTGAATAATTGAACTAAACGCAGTAATATTGTTTAAAACCGTTACTTACCCGATCACTTTTTTGGAATCAAACTGGGCAAAGCAAGTATCTAAACTACCTAGAAAGTTTGTCCAGTTGTCCAGTGGTTCTTTAGTTTCAGATTTATCTTGGTCACCACTATGTGATGATCTGAAGCTATGTCAGGTCCTCTCTTTGTTCTCACGCCGTTCGTGTTCCTTGTGAACGTTTTACTGATGCTGACGCTATCGATTTGGTTTTGTGTAGAGTGATCCGGCGAAACCCATGTAACTTCGTGTATGTGTTTGTTTGGGAATGTGGTGTTGTTACGCATGACCGTTTTGTTGAAGACACAGATTTGCGAATCTCTCACTGTTTTCGTTGCTGTGTCCCACTCCATGTCGTCCCTTGATGTCTCCGTATCATGTGTTGTCTATTGCAACTTTGGTGTTTAGGTCTCCCATCGGATTGGTCAAGTGCTTTGCTGAGCATTTCTTGACGGTTGACTGCAGCATTTTATGGAATTGATCCTTATTGTATTCATTGCTGTCTTTGGTGAGCTCATAGTACTGGATGCCATTCATTGTGATTCCCTCTTTCTGACTCTTGAAGGATGCTTTAATGAAGTTGATTCCATGGGATTCCCGTCTCATAAGTGCTTCTTGGGCTTATTTGTACAGCTTGATGCAACGCCTTGTGTGTGTGTGAGGCATTTTCCTCTTCTTGACTGGAGTACAGCAGCATCTGTTGGAGATAATCCTTTTTGTCCAACCTGTGTCCGATGGGTTCACTTATTCCAAGCAACACTATGTAGTATCTTCTTATTTCCTCAGCAACTTGAATGATTCTTCTGGTCTTGCACATCACCCGGAAGTTTTATGTACCCATGCTAATGGTTGTTCTGGTTGTCCGAAAGGGAATCGTTCTCATGATTTCCGAAGGGACTCGGTTATCATCATGAGGCGTCAAAACTTTCCTAACTGAAGACCTTCCAGCTCCCAGAGAAGAGCTTTAATGGTTTCAATTATTTGTTCTGGTTGTCGTTAGTTAGTTTTCTAAGGGGTTGCCAATCCTATAGCCAACCCTCCTTCTTTTACCTTGCATGTCCGATAGTAGCCATATATTCCTTCCAGGCTGAGTTATTTATTAACTGATAATTCTCTCTCTTAGTTCCCTGAGTAGTAGATCATGCTATCTTTTCGTTCTGAGATTCCGGAAGGAGAAGCTGGGAGTGGATAGAGAGAAAATTTTTTGAACGCTATGGTAGTGTTCATCTGAACTATTAGAAATTTAACGCGATCATCGATGAGTTATTTGTAAGTATGTATTCGTAATTGGTACAGGTGAACAATATAAACCACACATAATCGGATCACATATCGATTTTAACAAAAATAAAAGGTGCTGCCTTTTATTGTGATTATACTAGATTTGCTATTACTACTACTACTACTACTACTACTACTACTACTACTACTACTACTACTACTACTACTACTATCAACACAACTAACAGGCAATGGTTGTATAAAATATTCTGTAAATGTTCACTTAGAGTAGAATAACGCTGTCTCTTCTTTTGACTAAATTTTACTGACGTATGTGTACTTTATTTCCCTGTTCTTCTTCAGATACTCATCTTATAACGGCTCAGACAATAACCACGTCATATCCGAGTTATCGAAAGTGTAACTGATTCTTATTATCTCAACACCGTTTGTGACTGCTCCACTGTTCATACGGGAGGTTAGACTAAACTGCACTTCCGATGTTCGACCTGACCTTGAAGTCGGGTTGCTGAAGGTTAGGTTGCTACATGAATATCAAAGCTTACGTACTCGTACATATGAAGCTCAAAACTTGGAGAGTTACCGTTAAAATCCAGTTTCAGAATGACTGGTAAGTCGCTAATTATGATAAATCAGTTATTACACTATAAAAACAGTTGAGGTTTAGTCTGATATTTGGAATGGATAAATACATTTTAACCTTGTTCCTATGTCCTTAGACTTGAAGAGGCCCACTAATTCATGCTTGGAGCTAGACTGGTTTCTTTGAATTTACTGTTCGTGAGTTTCGGTCTGGATTTTGGTGACCGTTCAACCTAGTATTAAAGACGCTATTTACTGCACTGATTCTTTTGTGGACTGATTCATTGGTGGATTCTTATTCCTTCTAGAATACAGGCACAGTTAAGATCAGCCAGGTGGGAGTTGTTTAGGGCTGCTAGACGTATCAGTTGACTAGGCTGCTTGACTGTTATTCTTGACAAATTTATATCAACCCACCAGCGTATTTTTTGAGCCACCAAGATTTCTGGGTGCACCGACGTATGGGTATTATCTACTTGTACTAATAAGATATTCCGTGATCGTATATTTCTATCTAATTTGTGCATTAAAGCATCCACAGCTTTTAGAGACTTACGGTATTTTTGGGTTACGCTTATGAAATAGGATCATATGAACTTAATCTCATCTTTCGGTAGATATCCAGAACCCTGATTCACATGTGTATCAGAAGGTATCAATATAATTTACTGTGTTAAGATGGTTACATAAGTTCAACTGCAACTTCTATCGTCTCTTGTAGATCCCCGTGTAATGTGATATTTCAGTACATTCTTAGCAAAAATTTGATAAAAGTACATGCCATTTATGTTCATTCAGCACTGATCGATAATATCACGAGTCTCATTATTCAATGAGGTGGAATAATTCTGATTCTAAATGTTTGAAAATCAGGGTAACACTACATGAATCTGAGCTTGAGTTTAACATATCGGTATGTTTTGATTTTTCAATAAGCATCTTTAGTTTCAGCCTAAAAGCACTGGAAAATACCTCTTTGACCTTGTCTGCAGTACAATTGGCTTAAGAGAGACGTGGTATTTCGGATTACAATTTTATAGCTTCTTTCCAAATGGGAGAATGCAACTTTTTCACTGGCTAAAACTAGACAAGAAGGTAGTTTTACATAATTTCAACCATCGGTTTCTAGATTGTTTCACAGAAACCAGGAGATATCTCAAAGTCTCTTTGCTTCTTTTTCCACACCAAATTCTTCCCTGAAGATGTTGAACAGGAACTAATACAAGCCACAACTCGTCGTCTGTTCTATTTAAGTGTCAAGTCCACCATTTTAAATAGAAGTGAATCCAGTATGAATGGCAACTGTTTTGGTGGGTTATTGTTAATACCTATGTACCAATAATCTATTAATTTTTTCAGTTTTTACATACTTCCCACATAGATTGAAATATTGCTTATGCATGACAAGGCTTCTCAGAAAGCTATTATAGTCTAATCTCTGTCTATTTGCTTTTACATTAATTGAATGTCATTAGTTCCTGTACGTGTCTGCATACAAATAGATCTAGACAACATGCAGCTCGCAAGCCACTTGGCTTTAAACTAGAGTAAAAGTTGTTGATTCATAAAAGATGTTTAAATACTTAAACTACGTAGTATGATAAATTTTCTTCTGAATAATAGTAGTGCTAATATTTTTTAAAATTGTTAGTCGGTTGAATTCCAAAAAGACCCGATTCGAATATGTATCAATCCAAGTCTCCGTACCATACATCACAACGGAAAGAAAAATTAAAAAGATTGAAACAAGGGTTAATGAAATAATATGGACTCCAAAACTTATTATTTTATCCCTGTTATCCCTGATGAAGGATAGCCGCCGACCAGCATTCTCCAACCAACTTTGTTCTAGGCCTTCTTGTCCTGTTCTTTCCAATTGCTGTTCATTCTTTTGATGTCTGCTTACGATTCTCAGCGTAATATGCTCCTTGGTCTTCCTCTTTTCATTTAGCCTTGAGCAGTCCAAGTTAGGGCTTGCCTCGTGTCACCATGCGTGAGTGCGTTATTTTGCATCCATTACTAAGACCTAAAGTTATAATGCGTCACGATATGCAGCCAAAATATTTCAGAAACTAGACCATGTACACTTTAATAATGGACCGATGCATACATTCTTTGTGTTCTCTCAAATTCTAATCTTCTGGATTCCTCATGACCGTTTTTCTCTCTTCTCAAAAATCGATTCCTCTGTGATACACTTCTCGAAACGTATCTTCGTTCACTAATCTTATCCACTACCGCTAATACTTCTACTATTTCTACCACTATGGGATTTAACTTGACAGTCGCATCTCTGTGTGCTAATGTGATATGGCAACTTGGACTGATGTATGTACGTACGAAGTTCTACGTTGTAGATGACTGATTGCTACGTCTGTTTTCGATGGATCAGCTGGAATGTTGTCTGGTCTTCGTTGCCTGGTTTTCTCTAGTCTGCTCTTCACGAGCTCTAGTTCAATCAATCAAGAGAAATGTAGAACTTCGTATGTGTGTACGTACATCAGTTCATGTAATTTAATTTTTAATTTAAATCCCACAGTGGTAGAGATGGTATAAGTAATGGCGGTAATGGATAAAATTAGTGATTAAAGATATGTTCCTAGCCTTACGGTTTACCTTACTAGCAGGTAACACTGCTTTTTCCACAGCTTTTTTAATATCCGGATAGGAATCACTTGCATGGCTACCTAACTGTTTTTCTAGTTGGTAATGAAATATTTTCTTAGCTTTATTATCATTAAGTAGAACTCCAACAGGTTCCGACGCGCCACTCACCACTGTTCGCGGATGTTGCGTAGGCTTTTTATCAGCCTGCGCGTGAGGTGACTCCGCTTCTCATCGTACTCAGAGTCAAGTGGGATAAGTTTTTGAGCATCCATTAGTTCGGTAGATGCTACTGAGATCCACGGCCTCCTAGCCGTGGTCGCCTAACTGTTTTTCTAGTTGTCCCTGAAATTTATTCATAGCTCTGCTATCATTAGGTATAACCCTAAAAAGTTTCCTCGCGGTATCTTTCCTACGTCCGGTAAGTCGCAAACAAATACGCGCTTGCACTAGGGCATTATCCGAATCTAGACATGTTCCCCGGAACGAGCGACAGTCCTCTATCGAACCTCTCCATCGATGGTTGATGGCAACGTGATCTAGTTGAGTCCGGCATTGGGACGACTTTGGGTCTCGCCAGGTCAGGAGATGTTTCACCTTTTGCTTAAAGTTAGTGTTTGCTAGAAATAGGCGGCTCTCTGAGCATAGCTGCAGTAGACAGTCGCCATTATCTGTTGTTTGGGTCGCGACACCATGAGGTCCACCCAGTGTCTTTCGTTCTCACTGAGTCTACCTACTTGAGTATTGAAGTCACCAGCCATTATTACTATGTCAGAGCGCTTAACTTTTTGGATGAAGTCCAAAAGCTTTCTGTAAAACTCGTCTGAACTGCAGTCAGCGGGAGCATAGTCGGAGACAAGGAAGAGACGACGGCGAGTGTCCCTATCCTTCCGAGTCCTCACTGTCTCGTTCAGTAGGATAGCGCACAAGCGACTATCTACTGGGATCCAGTCTAGGAGAGCTAGTTCTGCCCTAGGACTCAATGTTATACCTACACCAGCGAGACCCTGGGAAGAAGCATCAGGAATTTCAGATACACGAAGAGTAAACCGAGGTGACGCGAGATTCAAAAGTCCTAGCTGATGAAGCCTGTTGCCCTATTTGACACAATGTCTGAACATTAAATGCTCCAACATGTAGTTTAGAACGGGGTTTCAGGATACCAGGAATGATATTTCGTATACTCTCATCGTTTGCACTAGCGGTACGGGGTGATAAAAGTATGTGAAAAGCGTTAATCGTGGAGATAAAAGCGATGTTAGGGGGTTCATGAAGTATTTGATCGCGACCACTTCGATCTCGTGTGCAGTTACGAGTATGAGGGCGGTTGTCACTTTCCGGCTGCCCACACCGTGGAACTGTGTTTCTTGAGGAACCTAAAAAGGAAGGCAGATTAGCGTTGATCATAGAGACCTGGAAGTGTGACCGCAGAGTCCAAGGGACAACTGCTTGATGCCGGTCACGCACGGCATTTTGAGTGTTAGCTCCGTTCTTGTTTGAGAGGCCTTACGCCTGGAAACGGAAATGCGTAAGTTAAGGCCAGGTGTGACATTTCTATTGTCGATCTTTTCTAACCCCTTCCTTTCTTGTGAGAAGGCAGCATCGCTGTATGTGCTGGTTGACTGACGGGAACACCTTACTTCTGTCGCACGTCTCTACAGTCAGCTGTCAGACCATTAGTCGCCGTTCTTAATCCTCTGTTCACCGGGCTACCTGAGTGACGTGGTAGAAATTAAAAAAACGTGTGTTCCAGCCAAAATAGCTTAGTTGGGTCATCACCACAGGTAGGCCCGACCACCAAGTGAGGGTAGCAGCTACGGTCGTTATACGGATATGGACCGTACTTAGTTTGACTCTTAACCATTATCCGAACTTCTACACTAACTAGCATCTTTTTTCGTCATGGTAGATGTTGGTTAAACGTACTTAAGAAATGTCCCAGTCATCTGTGCTGCTGAAAATTTACAACCGATTTTATTTTATACCTTTCCTGCCACATTTTATTGCAATATTGGTCACTTGGTTGTTCTACGACACACCAGGATTGCTCCAAAGACATCTGTGAATAAACATGCGAATACTTTCTCTCAAAATATATGTTTCTTACCCATAGCGTAATACACAGCACACCGTTACGCAGTATACTTGGTCTTCGGTTGCAGATGTCCTCGAAACATTACTAGTGTATGCTAGGACTAATAAGGCAATGCCGAAGTTAGGTGCAGGGTAATAGATGGTGGTTAATTACTTGACGATATAGCAAGATGTTTGTTAGATAACCGAACACCACCAGTTTTTAAAGACCATGTTTGACAGAGACAAAGTAAAACAGCTAATTACTGCGCAATGTACTTGTTGGGAAGGACTAACAAAGGTTTCTGAACCCGTGACGAATCTTCGTCTGATATTAATCCACCGCCACTGTTAATGGAACTTCTAAGATCGGGGAAGTGGTCGACACACTTAACTACTTTACTCTATGTCATTAGATCAATCTTGAAACAACCTTTAGCGTTTATGTAGAAAGAAACATCATAAACATGCACAGATTTTACTTAAGGAGATCAAAAGACTCAATTTTCACCAAAAAGAACTCATCGGCGCGTTTATGTCAACAAGTGGATCTCTCACTTGTGGATCATTCCCTTTAATGTCAGATGAAAGTGTCATTTCTAGTAAGTCATCTTCAGTGAAATTAAATAAATAGTAGGCAGCCTTGATGAACACCAGTTGAGGTTGATGGTCCTGATGACAGCTCACCTTCATATCATGTCATTGTTAATTGGTAGCATGTAATAAGATCATATTCGAGGTCGGTGTAATGGTTTTCTTTCAAATTCCTGGTCTCAATATTTATAGTATGGGCTACTTAAGCCGGTATAAGAGGTTTTGTTACTCCGGTAGTTGAGAATCTGTATTTTGTTTCAGTAGTAGTGCTATGTTGACACTAAGTGCTTTAATTCTGACTAACCGTCCCATAAAACTTTTTCTTTTTGATCTAGGCGATCTTTGTCCGTCTCTCGATGTGGCTATTCTACTTGCTTCATTAGCTTCTCAGGTTAGTTTGGCATTTTTAACTCATAATACGAAGTTAATTTCTGACCGCTTTTTTGGGGATTCTTTTCATCCCTTGGGCTTTATAATCAGATCGAAGCTCACATCAATTAAACCTACATTCCCATTTGTAGAAACTCTCAGACTTAATATATTTAGGTGAGGCAAATCAGCGAAATCATGTCTAAAACGATTTTGTAGAATCATCTTTTTTTCTTCACGTGTACAACCTTGTTAATGAATATTGAAGCAAATTGATGATATCAATATATTGCTCCTATGTGAGAGCTTTAAAACTGATGTACGGAAAAAACCGTTGTTCAAAAGACTAGTTTGGCTATAACATCATTCAGCTTTACAAGTCACGAATAGTAGTCAGGAATATTGGTTTAGAAAGTTATGAGCTATTTATGTGTCATGTATTTCAGTGAATAAGGACCCGAAGTGTACTAAAAAACTTACAAACTGCAGTGCAAAGATTAAAAATCCCTATATTCTGATCAAAACTACAAGGTAAGGCATGCACTAGATTGTCACACGTGAATTTCTAGCTTCTTGCGGTTGATTCTGAGAAGAACGTGCAGGTTGTTTTTGTGACGTGTGTGATTGATAATAAGGGCATCGGATCCTAGTTGCTAGGTTGGCACGCCTGCCATGATTAGTCAGTCGAACTCTATCGGCTACGGTATTTGTTCCCCCAGGTCGTACTGTAGTGAATGAGAACACAGGTGGGGCAACCGAATTGTATTTGTCGAAAATTACAGAGTTACTCAGTAAAATCGGAAAACCATATCGTGAATTGTTCATTTGCAAAATATCAGTTCACCCTATCTAACTGGACCGTTCTTGCTGCAAAACATCAATCCAATGTCGCTGTTCATGCGCTTCATACAAATTCCATTGTTTTCTAACTCTTCCTTTCTTGATCTTCCCCCATCTTCTGCTGCCAGACATTACGTTGACACTCACGTCATATACTACTTATAAGTAGCTCACACCACAGTACTACTAAAGTCTCCGCAACTCACTATCCGAAGGCAAAATTGAAGTGGTAATCATACACGAGCGCAATAGCAACAGTGTTCTCTTCAGGTACCTAGAATATGTAGCGGTGCTGACTTTTCACAACAAAATGAATATCATACTTCACTTCACAAATTTCCTCATGCAGCAAGGTCATCTGGAGCGCAGAGCTAAGGCATCACAAACTTCAACGGACAGTTCGTGTTACTGGCCTCAAGTGGTTTTCCTATGGGCTTTGCGGTTACTCTCCTAGTTCCCCAATCTAGTCTCTCTTCCATGTACCCCAATAAGAAGTAACCTGTCATAGAGTAGGCTGGAAGAAAGTTAGGGACGACCAAAACAAAACATGGCACCAGCCCATGATTTCATTTACAATTTGCTAAGCAATGTTAACATATATAGACTATCTAGTTTGGATCTGAATGACAATCGTAACGAGTGTTTACAAACTTTGTGCGACATGGCTCACAATCGTTTGCAATAACGTACGTGTATCCGTTTTTTGTGTTATCGCAAATTATAATCTGAATTCCTCATGACCTTCATCTTTCTTTTCTTAAATTTATTTCACTGGATTATACTTTAATAATATCTTCGGACCGTAATTTTCCCGATTACTGCTCATAACTTCTACTATGTCTATCGCTATGGGATTTGAATTGACAACTTCATCTCTGTGCTAATGTGGTATATCAACTTGAACTGAAGTAAGTAGGCAATTAAAAATTGGTAATCGCCCTTGTGCATCTAACAGCATTCGGGATCCTCTATCTGAAGTTTGTGCTGTTGTTTTTCAGAAGACCAATGAAAGATTCACAACCAAAACATCCAGCTCAGAGAACGAAACCACACCACAAAGATCCGCTTACTCACCACTAAATCCATTCGTCACCTCTTAGTGCTTCTATCCCCATTATCAACCCCTCCCATGACTGTGTTCGTATCCCAATGCTTCATCAGTCTAACGACTTATGTTTGAAAAATGTTATTCCTGGTCATTTGAAATCTCTCTGAGCTATATTTTGGAGCTTTCATCGTTCGATCCTTTTGTCAGATATAACAGTATTCTCTAGCCAGAACTCTGAAATCTCTCGCTAACGACGTATGTTATGTTTTCGGAACGTGTCTACAGGATTCCAGCGTGGTCACCAACTTGACCTCACCTAGTCATTATAAAGAAAGATGCGATTTGCACTTGATGTATTTGGTAACTTTACCTGATCTCGTGGCCTCGCTGGCGTAAGTATAGCAGTAGCAGGATACATTGTCCGAGACTGGATCCCAGCTAACAGTAGCTTGTGCACTTTCCCACTAAATACGGAGGCTAGAACATGGGACGATAGCGGAATACACTAATGACTCTTTGTTGTCTCTGCCTACGCTCCCACTAACTGAGGTTCAGGTGTTTTACAAAAAGCTTTCTCTTTTCTGTCGAAAAGTTAAATACAGCATATTAATCGTAGCAGGTAGCTAAAATGCTCTTTGCTTATCTGTAGGTCGGTAGTTGTAAAATTTGCTAGTTGTATATTTTTTTTCTTAAAAAGCTGATGTATATATATCTCAATGTCCATTTTTGTTTGTAGGCAGAATATGGTGATCTTTGTGAGGAAGAACTTAGTGATACGGAAGAACTAACCTACTTACCGCGCCGTATACTCAGATTAATCCCAGCTCAACTATGGGCCCAAATACAGTCTACTCAAGGTATAATGCAACAGTTTCGGGAACATTATAAATCTCACAAGGGAATGAATCGGTTTGTTTCTAACATAACTTTCGACCCCTTTCATTTTAAATAATATAGTGACAAGGCGGAACTTCAATATCTCAAAGTAGCCCAAATGCATAATCTTTTTGGTGTGGATTTTTTCCCTATTGTTGTAAGTGTTCTTTGTGCAAAACGTGTTTAATGGATCTGTATACAATATGTTACCATATTTTATAATTTGATGTAGCATTTATTGTTTCTAGCATATGAGACTGCACTTGCCTCTTTAAACAAACATCTATCACCTGCCGACAAAGGTGAAATTTTCCAACCACTTTAGTCAATGGCAACCCGTTTTTTATTGCTTACACGACGAAAAGTCACTACTTCCTGCACTCGTCTTGTAGTGAAGGAACACAGGTGGGACAACCGAATTGTATTTAACGAAAATTACAGAGTTACTCAGTAAAATTGGAAAACCATATCGTAAATCGTTCATTTGCAAATTATCAGTCCATCCTATCTAACTGGACTGTTCCTGTTGCCGAACATCAATCCATTGTCACTATTCATGCGTTTCATACAAATTCCATTGTTTTCTAACTGTTCCTATCTTGATCTTCCCCCATCTTCTGCTGCCAGACATTACGTTGACACTCACGTCATATACTAATAAGTAGCTCACACCACAGTCTTATCTTATTGACGACTGAAAATAATCATCATCATGTTTAGGGGACTTATTATTATTTATTTTATTAAGTCATCATCGATGTAGTCGATGAATAAATCTAGTGGGAGATCAACTGAAACAACACAGCGGTCAACATTGTTTTCAATTGATAGTCATTACGTCTTGCTTTAATATACGTGAAAATATCAAACCGATCAAGTCATTGATCATAGTGAATTAGGTTGCGTAACTACAGTTAACACGCAGAAAGTACAAATGGATAAGAAGACGAGTTTACCCTTAGTAATGATTAAAAAAATCGATTGTATAAAGTAACGGAGTAAGATAGTGTTGTTTCTAGAAGCATTTGTGAGACAAAATTTAGAAAGTGGCTATTTCTGACTGTTGTGACGTTAGATCCCCAGAACTCACTTGGGAAACGTCCTACTTTTGAGGTTTTTATGTTTTCGTGCATAAGTTGCTTAGTTAAACTTCACCTTTTTGCACTCGGAAAATCCCTTGGCTGTCATCGGTTGGTGGGTTATTTTAGTATGCTGTTTTTGTGGCTGTAACAAGGACGTTTCTATCATGTATAAATAAGCTCGATTTGTGTGTTGGTCGACCTCGTTATTTTCTGGGTGCTTGTAGAATACACTTACTACGCCTTATCAAGACTTCTTGATATAGTTAGCCGGGTCGGGGAAAAACGGATTAGAATAGCCTTTCGTGTCGGAAACAGATCAACTATATATACATACACTACTTGTGTAGTTTCTGCGCAACCAGATTAACATTCTGATTTGGACAAATTGTCTGAGTAGTGTTCGATAGTCAGTCAGTCAGTTACAACGTAGAACTTCATACGTAAGTACATCAGTTCATGTTGGCATACCACATTAGCACAGAGACGCAATTGTCAATTCAAATCCCAGAGTGGTAGAGAGTAGAATAATTACTGCTAATGGAAAAGATTAGTATTTGAAGATAATATTCAAGAAGTATATTTCAATGAGATAAGTTTAGAAAGACAAAGGTAGAGATGATGAGTAATTCAGAAGATCAGAATTTGATAAAACACAAAGAATGAACGCACGTGCGCCATTGCAGATGATTTTGAGCCATGTCGTTCAAGGTCTCTGACCATCGGTGACTTTCGTCTCTCGGACCCCAACCAAGGTAGTCTACATCTACCAACATGACTCAGTCCACTTGTCAGTGATTTCATGGATTTGTGCCATGTTTTGGTTTGGCCGATCATAGCTTTAACCTACGCCACAAAACATAGCTCATCGAGGCAGTCGGTGGTTGGGCATACGTAACATATGGCCCAACCACCTCAACTAATGAAGTTTCAATACTTCATCCATTGATTTGCCATCCCTACCTAGGACTCGTTTCCTAATAACAGCATTGCTTACTCGGTTGTCCCAGGATATACGAGCAATGCTTCTTAAACATCTATGATGGAATATTAATAAACTACGAACGTTGTCTACTCTTACCGGCTATGTTTCACATCCATGTAGTAGGACCGAGCGAACTGCAGCACAATACACTCGTCCTTTAGTCAGCAAACGGATATCTCGCCTACGTCATAAATGACGCACGTTGGCAAAAGCCAATCGAGCTATCTGTGTCCGTGCTGAGATTTTGTCAGTCACAAGGCCATCAGCACTGATGAGACTCCCGAGATGAGTGAAGAGGTCTACACACTCAACTACTTCACCACCTATCACTAGTTCAGGTGCCGATCCGAGCCAATCCTGAAGCAACATCTTGCATTTTGAGAAGGAAAACCGCATCCCGAACATGCTTACATTGTTGCTTAGGGTAGTCAGAACACTGCATTTTGTCAGCGTCTTCATCGAACAGAACTATGTCATCGGCATATTCTAGGTCAGTAAGCGATCCTCCTGGTAGAAGGTCTACCTGACGAGGATAATGTTAACTCTAAAACCATGTCTACGAAAAAAACAAGGATGGAGATAGTTAGACAAGAAAGGGGAAAGTGGACATCCGTGTCAGAAAGCACTGGAGGTAAAGAATTCCGATGACAGTTCCCTAGAGGCTCTCACATGATCAGTGGTGTTTGATTAGATAGCTTGTATAAAGCTAATGTGTTTCTTTGGTACACCTTTCAATGACAGACACTGCTACAAAACCTCACGATCCACAGAGTCAAATGCCGCCTTAAGGTCCAGGAAGACAACTATTGTAGGACTCTTAAATGTGTGTCTGTGCTCCAAGACGTGTCGTAGTGTAAAGATGTGGTCTATACATCCATGTCCACGTCTGAAACCAGCCTGGTTTTCTCTAATCTGCTATTCACTGGCCTTAGTTAGGCGTCTAAGGATAACTGAGGCAAACAATTTAGAAGACTTTTGTCCTTTCTTGCAGATTGGGGCAATCAGGGATTGAGACCAGTCAAATGGGATACCGCCCACTTCCCAGTTCTAGCCAAGATCAAAGTCAACCTGACTGCTAAAACTCGACCATCATCCTTAAAATTCTCAGGAGTTAGCCTATCAGGACCTGCTGCTCTACTTCGCCTTAGATTTCCTATCACTTTCTCAACTTTATAAAGACTAGGAGAACTTATATCGATTAGCCACTCAGGATGACTGGAGATCTTGGGCAACCGAAGTGCGTTTGAAGGTCAGTTGAACTGATCCCTAATATGTTCCACTCATCGATCCAATCACCTGGATTGAGAATGAATGATACAGCTATCCTTTTCTGAGATGAGATAGTTTCGCTAACAGATGGGTTTCTAATACCGGTTTCCTTTATACGGAGGAAAAGTTGTCTACTGTTGCCCATCGCTTTTGCTTTCGTCACCCACCACTTCGCGGTCGTTGCGTAGGCTTTTTATCAGTCTGCACGTGAGGTGACTCCGCTTCTCATCGTACTCAGAGCCAGGTGGGATAAGTTTTCGAGCATCCATTAGTTCGGCTAACTTTTTATGGTGGAGTTTCGTCATTTGAGCTGAATTTTTCAGTTGTGGAGCTTTGATTGTTCTCCTGAACAACATCAACAAAAACTTCGGGTAGATGTGTTCTTATTTCTATATATATGATTCGTAGCTTTTTTCTGTTTATTGTTGTTATTGACCTTCTCGTCGTTGTATTCATCTTTATTTTAGTTGTATTCGTCTTTTAATATAGTTCTTGATCCCATGTTTGTTTCTGGTTTGCTCATAAATTGCATCATTGTCGATGTGTTTGTGTTGACGATTGAAATTCAAAGAAATTCGAACACTTCATTTTAACTTGAAGTTTGTGTTGGGGATGTTGCTCAGAAGAACAATGAAGCTCCACTACCAAAACATCTATCTCACAGAACAAAAGTCCACTATATTCATCCATTTGACCTCAAGAGTTTCTTCATTATCTCAAGGCCAACCATATTTTCTTCATTTTATAAGGGGGTTACAAACTAATGGGATGTTAAATACAAAAAAATTCAAAATGAAATATCGCAATTCCGACCTTATTACCTTTTTTGTCTATTCTTTGACAAAACGAGATCTTGGTATATATATATATATATATATATATATATATATATATATATATATATATCACATTTCTTTATTTTATTCGATCTCTTCCCCCTCAGATATTGTGCAAATTCTTGATGTATAACAAATATTTTTTTGTGTATCCTGAGCTTTGTATCGTTATTGTTTTCATGTCATTGTCAATCGTCCCTTTTCTTGTATCTCTTTCAGTATGTTCGGATGAAGTTTCCTCGGATGTTGAATTTAACGCATAATGAATCAACTATTTGGGACAACACTGTAAGCTGTTTCATTGAATAATTTTATTGAAATCATAAACCAATCAATGTTATACTACCACTGGAATTCTTTTGGCACTGGACAATCTTTTTATTCTAGTGTTGTACTTATCGATGATGCGCATCCACAATGCTTGTGGGATTCGAACTGTTTTTCTAGTTGGTAATGAAATATATTCTTAGCTTTATTATCATTAAGTAGAACTCTAACAGGTTCCGACGCGCCACTCACCACTGTTCGCGGATGTTGCGTAGGCTTTTTATCAGCCTGCGCATGAGGTGACTCCGCTTCTCATCGTACTCAGAGTCAAGTGGGATAAGTTTTTGAGCATCCATTAGTTCGGTAGATGCTACTGAGATCCACGGCCTCCTAGCCGTGGTCGCCTAACTGTTTTTCTAGTTGTCCCTGAAATTTATTCATAGCTCTGCTATCATTAGGTATAACCCTAAAAAGTTTCCTCGCGGTATCTTTCCTACGTCCGGTAAGTCGCAAACAAATACGCGCTTGCACTAGGGCATTATCCGAATCTAGACATGTTCCCCGGAACGAGCGACAGTCCTCTATCGAACCTCTCCATCGATGGTTGATGGCAACGTGATCTAGTTGAGTCCGGCATTGGGACGACTTTGGGTCTCGCCAGGTCAGGAGATGTTTCACCTTTTGCTTAAAGTTAGTGTTTGCTAGAAATAGGCGGCTCTCTGAGCATAGCTGCAGTAGACAGTCGCCATTATCTGTTGTTTGGGTCGCGACACCATGAGGTCCACCCAGTGTCTTTCGTTCTCACTGAGTCTACCTACTTGAGTATTGAAGTCACCAGCCATTATTACTATGTCAGAGCGCTTAACTTTTTGGAGGAGGTCGCTGCCGCTCTTGATATGTCTGATGATCGTGCAAATTTTTTCGGTTGTTGGTGGGTTCACATTAATTTGGAGCTTCGGGGACTCTGTTCCTTTCAGAAGTCCTTCAAAATGTCCTCTCTTTGTTCTCACGCCGTTCGTGTTCCTTGTGAACGTTTTACTGATGCTGACGCTATCGATTTGGTTTTGTGTAGAGTGATCCGGCGAAACCCATGTAACTTCGTGTATGTGTTTGTTTGGGAATGTGGTGTTGTTACGCATGACCGTTTTGTTGAAGACACAGATTTGCGAATCTCTCACTGTTTTCGTTGCTGTGTCCCACTCCATGTCGTCCCTTGATGTCTCCGTATCATGTGTTGTCTATTGCAACTTTGGTGTTTAGGTCTCCCATCGGATTGGTCAAGTGCTTTGCTGAGCATTTCTTGACGGTTGACTGCAGCATTTTATGGAATTGATCCTTATTGTATTCATTGCTGTCTTTGGTGAACTCATAGTACTGGATGCCATTCATTGTGATTCCCTCTTTCTGAGTCTTGAATGATGCTTCAAATTATCTTGTTCCTGGTGATTCTACTTAAAAATAATCTGCTTTGATATGAAATATGCCAATTTTCAGCTGAACAGGAAGTCAGTAAACGATAGTATGGTTGGAGCGAGCGGTTTTGCGGAAATCATTCTGCTGTGTCGTGGGCCAAACCCAAACGCAAAATTTTCAGAGCCAGAGTAGGATGCCAGTCAAAATAAGGTTTGCAGAAGATTCGAGACAATTATGATTTTGATACAGTAACATTTGTAAACAACTGGGAAGTAGATTCCTCGACATAGCTCGTTGTTGAATCTTTCTGGGAGGTCTATGCTTAATGAGTATTAACAGGCATTTGTAAGTTACATTGTTATTCAATCTAGATCCCAGTTGTCTAGTGTATATTTTTCCAAAGTCTGTTAGTTTTGTTGCAATATGCTGTTCTGGCACCCTGGTTTTTGACTGTTCGAAAGAGTAATCAATGCCTAGGAAACTATTAGCTAAATGAAATTATGCGGAAAATTATTGCATGACAATTTATCTGGATTTTCTTTTCTATATGATTCGCAGTTCATCCAACTTACTGCGGATCGCTTGCAGCTGTTATCTTTTTTAGAATAAATTATCATGGTATTGTTTACAATTCATGTTCGGATTGTGGCTATGTAAATACGTTTATGTGATACTTTGTTTCTCATTGTTTTCTATTAGAAAAAGTGTCACACCAATGCTTGGCTGGGTGTTACAGCAGCTGGTCTTCAACTGTATGGAAAATGTCAACGTGATCCACCTCAATTTACCTTTCCTTGGAATTTAATAAAAAACGTTTCATATCGCGAACGCAAAGTGAGCTTTTTTGATTTATCGTATTGTCCAACCGAATTCATATGACGTTCCTATTGTATTCTGCATCATAGAACCTCGCTTTTTCTCAGTACTCTTGATTATAAAGCACAACAACAGCATCAGCCAATTTCGATCACAATATGCATGATAGTGTATCTCGATTTGGTTTTTAAACGTTTATTATCCCAATAATTCTACCCTACTATCTCATGTTATTTAGAAAGCTCTGTGAAATTATTTTGACATCTGAATAGCGCTCTTATTCATTGCTTAGACCCACTAAGTAATTAGACTGTCACCGACCTATTTTTGTACATTTTCATTGCCTCAAAAAATAAAGAAACGGCTTTTTCATATTTTCATTCTTTTTAAGCCAAAATTTCCACGGATTTAATGTAATCCATTCCAAAACTAATCTTCCTTAAAGTAGATTTTCTTCAATTCACTTAAAAAATCTTGCCGATTGTATAGATTTAAACGCACCAAATAATAATCATTTAAAGACTGGATAAATAGTGGTCTTTTATTCGCAAAGGAGTATCTACCTCAGTGTTTTAAACACTAGGCTTTCAACTACTGAGTCTCCGGTTCAAGCTCCCATCTTCATCTTCTGTTTGTAGAATTATGTGGTATCACCAGCCCTAACGCAGTCACCGTCTCAAATTAAACTGCAAAGGATTCACGTACTAGTTGAGTCAGTTAGATACAAGTGAAAAACAGGTTTTTTGATTATCTTTTGTTTTACCGTATTTATTTTATAACTTTTAAAGTGTTTTCTAAATATTTCGTCATTCATTTCAACAACCAGATAGTAGTAAACTCTACTCTTCCGCAAAATTTTATGTAGTTGTATGCATCATTCATGTAGAGATTTTACAAAATAACTTTCACATAGAAATCTGTTAAAAGCATTCTAAGTTAGTGAAAAGTACTTTTATAACAAACTTACCGATCATGCCGAAAACGCTCACACTTGTTCAACTGCTTATAATGCAAGTACAAAACTATTTACATATTTCTGATCATTTCTTTCTTGACTTGTGTATTCTACTCACGCTAAACTATATTCTGTTTCATGTATAATCAGGTATAAAACAAAGTGAATTATTTATCTTCGTCCGTTCCTTTCTCAATAAAGCTCAGCGGTTCTGTCAAACAGTGAACATTTTCCGTCACTAACTTTCACTACAGAAAGCGAACAACCTACTAGATGGAAAATAAATAGTATTATCCCTGAAACCAACAGATGAAAGATTATTAACTTACTATTTTTACACGGCGAAATCGCCTCTTTCTTGTTTGTGTTACCAATTATTTTAAGTTGGTTTCCTTTTAATCATCGTTTAGTTTACGATCAAGTTGACCAGCACCTGCCGTGGAACCGGCAAACCTAGTCAAGGTACATCTACCACAATATCTATGCCAACCGTATTGAACGAAACCAGAGGACCATTTGTTCCTTCAAAAACAAGCCAACCAAGTCGCAGCCCCCTAATCAGTACCACTGGCCAAGCCTTTGTTGGGGCTGCTGTAGGTTCTAGTGCTGGAGGTAGCGGCACTTCTGCCGCAAGTTTACCTGGCACTCCAACATCAGCTCGTCTTGTTCCCTCTGTCCCACCTGTCTCTCCAAATGTACTTGACACATCTGTTAACATTTCATCTCTAAAAGGTGTTCCCAAGTTTGATTCATGTGATACTGCACAAAAACTTGGTATTCTAAAAGGTTTCAAATGTCCTGCTAAAGGTAAGCTTAACTAAAACTAACTAATGTTTCGTCTTTTCTTGTAAATACTAGTAATGTCTGCGTCGTTTTGCAAGCATGGGTTCTATTTGTAAGAACCTTTGTATATCCTTCATCTTTGATGTCAAAGTGGTAAAGAGTAACAATATCTGAAATCTCCAACCCTAAAATGCTTTTCTTCTTCCATGGTGCTTATCAATAAGATGCGTATACATCTATTTGTCCTGATTAATGAAGACTGAAGTAGTCAATAATGTAGTATATTCCGATAGTATAACTTCTGTTTTCTCAAAATGTTAGGCTCAATTATACAAATCATTTACGCCGACATTGTACAAAAGACTTCGTAAATATCCAAAAAAAATCGGTTATAAACTGTAAAGAAATTATATTGTAACATCTATACATATTTTTGGTGTCAGTCGATACAAGTCGACCAACTAGTAATATTTGAGATAAACGCCCGCTAGTAGAACACACACATTTCTGTGTCTTCCTGGACCTTAAGGCGGCATTCGACTCTGTCGATCGTGAGGTTCTGTGGCAGTGTCTTTTATTGAAAGGTGTACCAGCAAAGTTCATTAACCTTGTACAGTCTCTACTACTACCAGTCTCGCACTACTGGTTGAGGGAAAGCTTATAGCAAACTGTCCACTTTCTCCATTATAGTATAACTTTGTCAACGATGTGCTTTTTCAGTTGACGCTTTCATTATTTGACTTCTCAGGAGTTGAACTTTTACCAGGAGATTCTTTTGTTGGCTTGGAATATGCCTATGACATAGTTCTGTTCAATGAAGACGCTGACAAAATGCAGTGTTCTGACCACCCCAAGCAACAATGCAAGCATGTTCGGGATGCGGTTTTCCCCTTCGAAATGCAAGATGTTGCTTCAGGATTGGCTTGTATCAGCACCTGAACTAGTGATAGGGAGTGAAGTACTCGAGCGTGTAGACCGCTTCACTTATCTTGGGAGTCTCACCAGTGACGATGGCCTGGTGTCTTGGGACTATCGAGTAAACAATGCTGTTGTTATGAAACAGTTACTAGGTAGGGACGGCAAATCAACGGACAAATTACTAAAACTTTATTAGTTCGGTTGGTTGGGACTGGACGAGCGATGTTTTATAGTGTAGGAGTAGGTTGGAGTAAAGCTAAGGGCGGCCAAAACGAAATATTGCGGAAATCAATGAAGTCACTGACAAGTGGACTGAGTCATGTTGGTAGATGTAGGCTACCTGGTTGGGGTCTGCGAGATGATAGTAACCGATGGTTAGAGACCTTGAACGACATGGCTCAAAATCGTTCGCAATGACGCAGGTGCATCCACTCCTTGTACTCTCACTAGATTGTTCTTCTTGTATAGTATCTTCGAACCCTAATCTTTTGGATTACTGCTAATGCTTCTACTGTCTCTAACACTATTGAATTTTAACTGACAGTTGCGTCTCTGTGCTAATGTGGTATGGCAACCTGAACTTCTGTACTTATATACGAAGTTCTACGTTGTTGTTATACTCGGTTCGAAGTGTACCTAAACTATTACGGGTTCACCTAAGTCGAATAAAGAGAAGAAACAATGAACCGGCGTCCATGTAGTCTACTATGATCGCTTGACCCAATTGTGCCAGCAAGAAGTCTTGATATAGTGTAGAAAGTGTATACTACAAACACCCAGCCGGCACACAAATTGCGTTTATTTATGCTCCATAGAGACGTCCTTTGGACAGTTACAAAAATGGCACACTAAAATGACACAGTATCCAACCACGGTCAAGGATTTCCCTGGTGGGAAATGTGATCTCAAGGTCAACTGATCGGACCATCAAATAAATCCAAAATAAGGAGATTTATCAAGCGAATTCTGGGGATCTAACATCCTCAACAGTTGTAACTGACTGACTGATGTACTTGAGTATGAAGTTCTACATTGTAGCCAAATGACTGATATAGTTTAAATGGAATATTTGATGGCGAATATGGTGTTCTTATTTTTAAATTTCAAATAATATGTAGTTTTGTATTTAGTTTTTGAATTAGGTTCACGCTGCATTCCTGGTTTATCGATCAAGTCCTCCCGTTACTCTGCTAACGAACTTGCCGTTACTAGTAATAGCGTGGATTGTATTCGTGCCCCTAGGGTTCAGTCTGCGGATACTAATGTCTCATCACCGTCCAAAAGTGTGCTTAAATCGCCTTATTTCAATTCGGAGACAGTATTCATCAGTGTTGTTGAAGTTTGGTTGGCTGATCCGAATCAAGCTAAAACAGTTATATCTATGTGTGCTGGTAATCACTCATTGTTCATGAGACGTCGTCAACCGGATAGCATTGAAGTTCAGCAAATGAGAGCACAGGCAAGAGAAGAAAGAGCCAGACGAGAGGTAACCTATTATTTTACTAGCCTTTCAGATTACTTTAATTGATATGTCATTTTTTTGTTCTTTCTCATATGTTCGTATGATCCCTATTTCATTCCACGTTTTTGCGTGGTGTAACTAGTTTAAAACAAACCAATTATACAGTAGGAACTGTTAGATTTATTCATCCATTTCTGCGTATCAATTATTTACATCCATATTATTGACGTTTTATAATATTTTGAGTTCGTTTACTGTTTGTTTTTAATTTAATATCTATTGGATTGCTGTTGAAATTAGGTTGAACGAGCACGACTGGCAAGAGCACGTGCCGAAAAGGCGGAGGCTTTAGAAGCTAAATCAGTTTTAGAAGCCCGATGTGCTCAACTCGAAGAAGCATTGATGCATCAACAAAGGCGCCAAAAACCATACATCTCTGATAACCATAATCGTTTGAACGATACGTATACACCTGATTCACCCCCTACTTGCACTTCTCATTCTATATCCAATGAATACAACTGTAAAGTTTCTCTCAATCCTATGAAGAAAGAATATCTAAAAGACTTGAAAATCGTTAGTATACCTATATCCCAAACATTAAACGGTGACGATGATCAGAAATCCATTTCTAATGCCGTTGAAGATAATGATAAAACTACCAGTGATATTGTGAATCGTAATCGGTGTGATAGCTACTTCGATGAATACAGTTTCTATCTACCAGTAACCAATACAGATGGATGCTCAGCACATCATGGGAAATCTTGGGATGATGGTATTCAGACAGCCCAAAATAACTTGATTTACACTGACCCTGTCAATCCAAACATTTTAGCAGATTCCTATTCTAAGTATACAGATCAGCGATTTGCTCCTGGTTCAGTGTCTGTTCCTGTAACGCCTCATGTTAAACGGACAGAAATGATACGCCGTTGGGATGCAGATTATTTCCCTCCGTCATCTTCGTGGCCATTTGAGTCAACTAGTTGTCCAGTGGACCTACAAAGGGAACATGCTATTTATAAGAATCATAACAAAAAGGTTAGCCCACATTGTATTTATATAATTAGAATTTACGATGTATTTAGTAAACCATTTCGGAGAGTACTATGATCTAAATTTTTCAGAAACTCCAAATATACGTTGTCCATACAATCATGTATCACAAACGCCTATTACAGAACCTGGTATCAAAAAAGTGTAACTTCCTCAATCTTCTACGTATGATGAACACCACATTGCACCGAGTAGGGATATTGAAACTAGTCTAATAGAAATGCTTTCCTAAGCACGTCTTGTCTTGTATCTAGATATTTGTCAATGAATAGTGCCTGATTCGAGCTTCATGTTATAGTCAATGTGTATAGATGTCGAAACTGTAGATGTTAATCAATAGTTAGGACCAATCACAGCTAGGTGTCTGTGATGATTTTCCTCGCGAGTTGTCTACTTAATTTAAGGCTAACTGGATTATTGCTATCCTGGTGCATTATTTCATTACTTCGATTGGCAGTGCTGTGGTCTGATGTTTTTAACCTTTTCTTTAAGTGATACAAAGTAAATATCCGTGGTGTCGGTCACGCAGCGCGAACCATATTATACCCTCATATAGCGAGCAGCTCAGACGAGTCTTGTGCATTAAGCTAGTAACTTTCCCCCCCCCCCTCCACATTATTGCGTTGGCGCGATTAGTTCAGGTAAAAGAAAGCTACGTCCTACTGACGTTCGTCGATAAACAGGAGTCCATACAACTTCGACAAAAGTTTTTGATTTGGTGTGTGAAAGCAATATAAACAACTAAGTTAGGGGTTACTCCGTTTAAATCGACCGTAGCCTACGTCATGAAGGTCTCTGGTTTCTCTCACTGCGTATAATAATGGGTTGCGCAAAGAAAATAAACCCCAACCGTTTAGCAGCCAAGGCGTTGTCACTGACTTTAAGCTGACCTATGATAATGGAATTGTTTCTCTGATAGTTTTGAATTTCAATTGTCAAACTATATTTTGTGTAGTCCCTTTTTCTAATTATCTCAGGTGGTTTTATATCCATCGTATTTGGTTACAAATCTTGGTCCAATGTATCCGGAAGTTAGTTACTGTGGAATTGCCATTAAATCTTTATGGCCTAGAAATCACTGTTTCACTGCTGAAGTGCCAATAACGTCTGTTGGGGAGTCTCATTCACAAGAACCAGAAGCCTCTTACACACCTTTTGTCATTGTCCCTGATAACTTGCCTGCCCTTCGCAGTGAAGTTTTCAATTCGAATTCGCGGACCAGACAGACAGATGTCTCTCATAATCATAATCCGTGGGCATGTGTAGTAAAGTCTTCTGGACACCAACCTCTAGCAGTTTGTCACATGTGTTCGCCACCTCAAACACGCATTCATGATGTTTCTCATAATGTACCTATGGGTGTTCTAAGACATCTACAGTACTCTACAACAAATTGTAACGCTCAATCGATCCCACGGGATCCGATAGATAGCAGCCAGTATTTATATTCGAGTTCATCTTTGGCTGCAATACTTTCTCCTATTGTTACTCAGCGTTTGCAACGTCGAGTACCTAGTCGTCCGCAGCTGAGCAATGGATTAAAGCGACAGCGGACGCAACTAAAGAACGTGAGATCGTCTGACACAGTCCATATTCCCTCAATACAGCGTTCAACAAGTCATATCCAAATACCTTGTGCAGGAAACAGTTGTGGACAAGTGTCTAAAGAAGAGCTTAATTCGGCCAACAACCACGTATTTTCTCATCCTACGTATCTCGGCTATCCTCTTCAATGTGCACCTTGCTCTACAAACGTTTATCGGAATCACTGTGACATTCATGCAGGTAATTTTTTAATTTTTGCGATAAAATTTTCTCTATATATCTGTATTGTTTTTCCATAGTCTTAAACCACTTGGATCTCTTAAAACCTAGTCAGTTTCTAAAACGTGTCGGTAATTCCCGAAGTGCCAATTTTTTAACAGCATATCAATATGTAAGTTGCAGTAGCTCATAGTTTAAAAACGGCATAAAAGTTCAAAGAACTTGATTATTCACTTCAGTATAAAAGCAAGTCACATTTCAGTGTCACATAATTCTATTTGCTCACTGAATTTCATGTACTTTTCATATAACTTAATTTTAACTCAACTGTGGACTTTCATTTTATCTCCAGGTATTAATATCTCATGGAAGTTCAAACGTTTGTGTTTGGTATGTGACTTGTTGTCTTCCTGTTCGTTTAAAAGCTGGTGTATTTTTAGATTTTTGTTTTTGTACCTTGTTTTATCCTCTCAGTTGCTTTCGCTTATCTTATTCTAATCCTGTTTGTGTTGAATCAAGATTTTCCTTTGACTGTCATCATTAAACTAATGATTTTGATTTACCTCATTCGTCAATGCTACAGAATAATTTGAATTTATTATTTTAGTAAGGAAGTTTATTACAACTTATTTTTAGGTTGCAGATATCCAAATTTACTGCCGCATAATCAGTTTCCCTCTGCTCAAACAAATGAATATCTTCGCCGTGCTTCTAGTCTTGACGTTTCGTCTGGAACTAATGATCCTTTGTGGACTACAGCGCCTCGTGAAATGTTATCTCGAACAGATGAACGTAATGAAAATGAGAATGTATTGTTACTTGAATCGAATCCTCCTTATACTCAACGTTATTTCTTAACAAGTCAGCTGGAGGTAGAAAGAGCTCGCTTTGCGTTCCTTCAAACACAATTTTCGCGACAGCTGTGTGATACTTGGGGATACTTAAAAGCCGCTCGTGGACAGCAGGTTGATAAATCTAGCGAGTTAGCAACCCACGCTGTTGGAAGTAATATTCACAAGTAATCAATAACGTTTATATATTGAGTAATTCTCTTGTGAAATATTGATTTTCAAACTTATACTTTCACATGGTCTTTTAATAATCAGTTACACGTCATCGTGAAAATGCTTTACGATAGGGTATTATGATTTATATGCTAGCTTTGATTACTTGTATTAAAATCTTAGTATATTGTTGTCTTATTCGCTTTAATATTTTTAAGAACTTGAACTTTATTCAAATTAAAATCTCTATGCTTGAACCTGTTTTCTTTAATTTGGTGTCTCATTGTAAAGATTAGAAACTAGCAGTAGTCTTGAAGATGTCTATTATTTTACGTTGAAATCTGTCAGCTGGGTATACTTAGACCAGAATCTACAGACATCAGTGTTAAAATTTGTACTTTAAACTCATATTTTCTTTTGGACATTTAATATTCGTTCGAAAATCAAATTCCTGTAGCTTACGACATCAAAAGATTTTACACCTCTCATAACTGTTTTAAATAAATTATTTTTAGGTTGTTTGGAGGTAACTATATGAACTTCAGTCTATAAGCCCAATACTAAATTAGTCAGCATTATCACAAAAATTGACATCATTAAAATGTTGTTCTTTTTAGTAATCCTTTATATGCCTGTGAACTGCGATGTGATCCTGCTGGCGCTTCGGATGGTGCATCCACTGGTGGTGGCAACGTTTGTAGCATATGTGGTTCTGGTGCTTATGATGGGCACGATCACCTTCACGACACTAGTCCAGACCATCATTTCTGTGAACCATATTCACAATCAAACCGAAATGTTTCGTCGGAAAGAATAAATACTTTTGACGACTTAGGTGTCAATAATTTAAGGTCAATGATCAATGGGGAAACATCCGAGAGTAAATTCAAAGGAAGTAAGTTCGTTTGATGATAGTGATAATTCTATTTTGTCCTACTATTCATATCAATATCTTCAAATTATAATTCCTGAATATCTTATTTAACAGAAATACCATAAGAGTGATAAGTATAGTGTATTTGGTTACACACAAGAATTTGTAGTCAGGAATATCTCTCCTAAGGCATACTGTGTACCATTTCCTGTAAGATTCATGCTTTGACCGAAATCTATTACAGTTTTATTCTCGTGAAGTTTCGTTCTCTGAGCTAGGTGTTTTGATTGTTCTTCTGAACAACATCAGCATCAACTTCAGGTAGAATTGAAGTATTCTTATTTTACATTTGTGATTCGAACCTTTCTCTGTTGACCCCGATATTTATTGTTGTTATTGACCTTTGATCTATCATTTTCTGTATCTTTATTTCGATTGTATTCCCCTTGGATTGAGTTATTGATGTGTTCGTGTTCCCTCTCTCCAGATTTTCCAACAATTTTCCACTAGAGGTGCGAATATTCTCCGTGTTGACCGCTTCATTTATCTTGGGAGTCTCACCAGTGCCCATGGCCTGGTGTCTGACGAAATCTCACCATGTATACACAAGGCTCTACTGGTTTTTGCCAACCTTATGGCGTAGGAGAGATAGCATTTTGCTAACCAAAGACGAGTGCACTGCGCAGCGGTTCTCTCCGTCCTACTTTATGGCTGTGAAACATAGGCAGTTAGAGCAGAAGATATTCGTAGGTTACTGGCTTTCGATCATAGGTGTCTCCGAAGCATTGCTCCTTTATCTGTCATTGAAAGGTGTACCAAAGAAGTACATTAACCTTATACAAGCACTCTACTCGAATACTACTGGTCGAGTGAGAGCTTATGGCGAACTGTCATTTGAATTCTCTACATCAAGTGGTGTCCGTCAGGGATGTCCACTCTCTCCATTCTTGTTTAACTTTTTCGTAGACATACTCTTAGCGTTAACATTAGGCTCGTCAGATTTTTCAGGGGTTGATCTTCTACCAGGAAAATCGCTTACTGACCTAGAATATGCCGATGACATAGTTCTATTCGGTGAAGACGCTGACAGAATGCAGAGTCTTCTGACCACCCTAAGTAATAATGCAAACATGTTCGGGATGCGGTTTTCCCCGTCGAAATGCAAAATGTTTCTTCAAGACTGGGTTGCATCGGCACCTGAACTAGTGATAGGGAGTGAAGTAGTCGAGCGTGTTGATCGCTTCACTTATCTGAGGAGTCTCATCAGCACTGATAGCCTGTTGACTGACAAAATCTCAGATCGGATACAGAAAGCTCGATTTGCTTTGGCCGATTTACGCCGTTTATGGCGTAGGCGAGATATCCGTTCGCTAACCAAAGGACGGGTGTACTGCGCAGCAGTTCGCTCCGTTCTCCTATATGGATGCGAAACATGGCCGTCAAGAGGAGATGTTCGTAGGTTACTAGTATTCGATCATAGATGTTTAAGTAGCATTGGGACAACCGAGTAAGCAATGCTGTCGTTAGGAAACGAGTACTAGGTAAGGATGGCAGGTCAATAGATGAAGTGGTGAAAGAAGAAAGAAAGTTAGGGGCGGTTAGACCGAAACATGGCAGAAATCCATGAAGTCACTGACAAGTAGACTGAGACATGTTGGTGGATGTAGGCTACCTGGTTGGAGTCCGCGAGGCGAAAGTCACCGATGGTTAGAGATCTTGAACGACATGGTTCACAATCGTTTGCAATGGCGCAAGTGCATCCATTCGTTGTGCTCTCTCAAATCCTAATCTTCTGGATTCGTCAGCACCTCTACATTTGTCTTTTTAAACCACTGAATTATACTTCTTGAATAATATCTTCAAACCCTAGTCTTCTTCATCACCATTGATACATCTACTATCTTTATCACTATGGGATTTGATTTGACATTTGCGTCTCTGTGCTAATGTGGTATGGCAACATGAACTGATGTACTTGCGTACGAAGTTCTACGTTGCAACTGACTGACTGCTTGTTTATCTTGGGACTATCGAGAAAGCAATGCTGTCGTTCGTAAACGGGTGCTAGGTAAGGATGGCAGGTCAATAGATGAAGCATTGAAACTTCATCGGTTGAGGTGGTTTGGAACTCCGCCTGTAAACTTCCTGAGAGTACTGCCGGTCCGGATCTCTGGATAAGGGTGAGAGTTGGGCTTGTGAAACATATGTTCCAACCAATAAAGCTCGGTTGGTTCATCACTTTAGGCTAGCCCGACCCCTACTTCAAGGTAGCAGCTACCGTTGGGAGTTACGTTTCTTAGCTACAAACTTCGAAACAGAGATATAAAGATGAACGACCGAAGTTTAGAATATCAGTCAGTCAGTTACGTGGAACTTCGTACATCAGTTCAGGTTGTCATACCGCATTAGCACAGAGACGCAACTGTCAGTTCCAATCCCATAGTTGTAGAGATAGTAGAAGTATTAACAGTTAAGGCAAATATTAGGGTCCAAAGATACGAATCAAGAGGTAGAATTCAGTAAGAAAAAGTTAAAAAGAGAAAGATAGAGATAATGAGGTATTTCAGAGGTTAGAATTTGATAGAACGTATAGCTCAGTGCACTTGTCAGCGGCTTCATCGACTTGTGCCATGTTTTGTTCTGGCCGCCCCTAGCTTTCGTACAACCTATTCCTACACCTCAAAATATAGCTCAACGAGGAAGTCGGTAGTTGGGCATTCGTAACACATGTCCAAACAACCTCAAATGATTGAGATTCAATACTTCTATCGATCTGCCATCCTTACCTAACACCCGTTTCTCAACGACAGCATTGCTTACTCGGTTCCATGATATGCGAGCAATGCTTCGGAGACACCTACGATCGAAAACCAGTAACCTACGTATATCCTTTACTTTTACCGGCCATGTTTCGCACCGTTACCGAGATAAGTGAAGCGGTCTATACACTCAACTACTTAACTCCCTATCACTAGTTCAGTCACCGATGCAGCCCAATCTTGCAGCAACATTTCGCGTTTCGAATGGGAAAATCGCATCCCGAACATTTTTGCATTGTTGCTTAGAGTAATCAGAAAACTGCATTTTGTCAGCGTCTCCACCGAATAGAACTATCATTAGCGCGTACTCTAAGTCAGCAAGCGTGTTTCCTGGTAGAAGGTCTACTCCTGAAATGTCAAACGATGATAATCTTAACTCTAAAAGCATGTCCACGACGAAGTTAAACAAGATTTGAGAGAGTGGACAGCCCTGACGACGCCACTAGTAGTAACCATTTCCGATGAGATTTCGCCATAGGCTCCCACATGACCTGTGGTGTTCGAGTAGAGAGCTTGTATAAGTTCAGTGTGTTTCTTTGGTACATCTTTTAATGACAGACACTGCCACAGAACCTCACGATCAACGGAGTCTAATGCCGCTTTAAGGTCGATAAGCACTACAATTGTGGGGCGCCTGAACCTGTGTCTTTGTTCTAGGACCTGACGTAGTTTGGAAATGAGGTTTATACATACACGTCCTGGTTTGAAACCAGACTGGTTTTCTCTAGTCTGCTCTTCACGAGCTTTCGTTAAGCGTCGGAGTATTATTGAGGCCAATATTTTAGATACTACATTAGACGTATTCCTATATGATATTCACAAGACTTAGACACCTAACTGTAACTCGTGACGAGCAGACTCAAGAAAACCAGGCTGGTTTCAGACCTGAACGTGGCTGTATAAACCAGTTATTGACACTACGACAGGTCCTGTAACACAGACACACACGTTTGCGTCCGACAATAGTTGTCTTCCTGGACGTGTTTTAGACACTTAGTGTTTCCTGTGAACGTTATATTTAAGTTCCTATTACAGGAACTGAATATTGAATTTTCACGTGATTTACGTCTCATTTGACTGATGTTTACATGTCTTCTAAGTCCATCATCTGAATGTGATTGGTAAACATTTGGGGTTAAATTTGATTAAATTGTTTAGACAAGAGTGCTAGACGAATTATCGGTATTTTTAAATACGATTTTCACGATTAATTTCTCCTGTATAATCGGCCCTTACTTTTTGTCAAATCATTGGTTTAAATATTCTAAAGTATTGTGTTATCTTCCCAACGAACCTTGAGTCGCTGCGTTTTGTCCCACCTATTTCCAACCAACTTTTCTGGAATTGATACCTAAAGAAACAATTATCCTTGTACATACGGCTAGATTGGTTGGTCATGGTAGGCGTGCCCATCTAAGCAGCTAAGATTTGGTTGCGTACAGATCACAAAAACAACCTGCACGTTCTTCACAGAATCACTCATAAAAAAAACTAGAAATCCACGTGCTACAATGTAATGTTTGTTTTACTTTGGAGAGATGTAGTTACGTAATTTTAATCGAATATGCTTTCATATCTAATTAAACTACATTTCATGAATTGCAGAAAAGTTCTTGATTTTAAGCTTATCACTTAGTTAACGTAATCTTGAATTATCACTCCCATTGTACAGGTTCTACAACTGGTCACTCGTTCGTCTGCCAGTTATTTAACAATGGCGACGATCTTCATTACGCTCATTGCCTTGAATGGTAATCGAATAATTATGCAAACATATTCACCTATGCATCTTTCTCTTTTTGTGTGCCACATTTTTCGCCTTCGGGAGGTGTGCGTAAAGTTATATTTTGAGCATTGTAAAACCTTAAAAAAAACTCACTTTTCAGTGACAGTCTTTACGTTTATCGACGTTAAAGATTTAAGTACTTATACTGTCTTTTCTTTCAGGTTTCAACGAATCAGAACAAGATTGGCAGTCTACCGTACTATTACAACACACTCATATGAACTTATACGCACATTCTACGAAAGCATGCTAGACTTCAATCGTATTGCACTATTATTCCTAATTTTCAACGATTTATATTATTGTATGCATAGGATTGATTGTTCCTCATAAATTTTTGTTTGTACATGAAAAACGACTTCAACGACTTTAACAGAGTATACTGCGCTTTCGATATTTGAACGTTCATAATCTCTCGACACTTTGACCCACTTGATTTGAAAACAAAGCTTGGATTATCATTAGAGAAGTTAGTTCTAACATTATGGCTGAAGCCATAAGGCTAAAAATTTACGCTTATTCTCAGTAAGTGGAGTGAGGGGCATTTGGTTTGTTCTTTGTAAAACGCTTCCAGTCCTACTTCATTCAACTAGTTGACTTTTCATACAACCTTCAAGACAACCGGGAAATACGAACGCTAACATACATCGGCATCTTGAAGATGTAGAGACGTGCGACAAAGTAAGGTGTTCCCGACAGCCAACCAGCATCTGCAGCGATGCTGCCCTCTTATAATGGAAGGAACGGTTAGAAAATGTCGACCCTGAAAATGTTACACTTCATATCACCTCACGGGTTCCCGTCTCTGGTAGCAGGGTTATTTGATGAACGGTGCCAAGACTTAATAAAACACGACAGCATGCTTCCTTAGCAACGATTCTAGAATCTTGCACAATTGATTTAAGCATCGTTCCCCACTGCTGCATTTCGTGGCCTCGCTGAGGTAGGTATAGAATTGAGTTCTAAAGCAGAACCAGCTCTGTCAGACTGGATCCCAGTGGATAGTAAACTCCTTTGATTTCGACTAAACGAAAACAAAGTCCAAAAATATGCTTCGAAAGCGACTAGATAAAGTTATACAGCGGTGTAAGTGATTTTCTCCCCGAGGCGGCTTAGGATGATATCCGAATAGCTGTGGAGACAGCAGTGATATCCGCTAGTAAGGTAAACCCTAAGGTTCGGGATAAGCCATGGATCTCGGTAGCATCTGCCGAACTGACATGCTCAGAAACTCAAACCAATTGGCTCTGAACATAACGAAGAGCGGTGTCAACGTACGCGCAAGCTGATGAGAAGGCTGCGATGAGTACGAACATTTGTGGGTAGCGAAAGTATGGGAAAGACAGTGACAAAAGGTAACGGTAGACAACTATTCAAACTTATAAAAGAGACCATTATCAGGATTCCGACTGTAAGATTATCTCGGAAATATTGGGCAGAACATAGTGGGGAACAATTCAGCCACACTCCGAAGAAAAGTGGCCGGTGTGAGGATAATGTTCTCAGGTTGTTAGTGTTAATCAAGTGTCTTTGAAGCATTTCTCGCACATTCTGATATTATCGAGTTGGAAATGCTTGGAGGAAGGTCATCCTGTGGGATTTAAGTCGGCAGCTGCACCCCTGTGCTAACGTGATAAGGCACATTGTGCTGCTGTAGGTACGTTCGGTGTTCTTCGTTATAGCTGACTAATCGATAGTGAGGTTTTATTTTCTGACTGCTAGTTATAGGCTTGTTACACTTCATGCTGGAGTCTAGAATTCGCAGGCGTGTGAACGCAATATGTGTTAGTTCACACATGTCGATTCAGGAATGGTGGCTGAAACTAGTATACGGGCGATGGAATTTCTGCTACCGCGTAAATTGCCATCAGATTGTTCACTAAGTATTTGGTAAATTATTTGCCATTTCGGAGAGTACCATAATTTGAATTTGTCAGAGGCTACAAATATACGTTGTCCATACAATCATGTATCATCACAAACGCCTATTAAAGAACCTGGTATCAAAAAAGTGTAACTTCCTCAATCTTCTACGTATGATGAACACCACATTGCACCGAGTAGGGATATTGAAACTAGTCTAATTGAAACGCTTTCCTAAGCACGTCTTGTCTTGTATCTAGATATTTGTCAATGAATAGTGCCTGTTTCGGGATTACAGGGGTCTCGTTGATGTGGGCATAGCATTGAGCCATGGGGTTGAACTATCTCTCCTAGACTGGATTCCAGTAGATAGACAGTTGTGCGCTGCCTGACTAAACGGGACAGTAAGGATTCGGGAAGATAGGGACAGGTTATTACCTATGGCCCTACTAACTGCAATTCAGACGAGGGGAAAGATGAGCTTTACAGAAAGCTTTCGGACCTCCTTCAAAAAGCTAGGCACTCTGTAGCGTTAATGTCTGCTGACTTTAATGCTCAAGTAGGTAGACCAAGTGAGCGGGAAATATACCTGGGAGGATCTTATGATGCCGCGGCTCAGAGAACAAACAATGGCGACCTTTTGCTATACCCATCTCAGATAACCACCTATTACTAGCAAATACTAACTTCAGGTTCAAGCATAAGTCGTCTCAACGTTGACACGACCATATCACATAGGCACCACCACCCACTGGATCTCAGCACGTATATTAGGAGCTTGACTGGCTTTTGCCAGTTTACATCACTTAAAGCGAAGGAGAGATACCCGTTTGCTAACCAAAGGACGAGTGTTCCGCGCTGCTGTCCTACTATACGAATGCGAAACATGTACTACGAGAGTGGAAGACATCAATAGGTTGCTTTTCTTCAACCACAGGTACTTCCGTAGTATCGCTCGTTTATCTTTGGACAACCGGGAGGTCAGTGTTGTATTTAGGAAACGAGTACAAGGTAGGGATGACAAATCAATAGATGAAATATTGAAACTTTATTTAATGAGGTGGCTGGGACATGTGTTACGTATGCCCAACCACCAACTGCCTTGATGAGCTATGTATTGTGGCGTAGGTTAGAGTAGAGCTAGGGGCAGCCAAATCAAAACATGGCACAAATACATGAAATAACTGACTAGTGGACTGAATCATGTTGGTAAATGTAGGCTACCTGGTAGAGGTCTGCGAGACGAGTCACTGTTGGTTAGAGACCTTGAACGACATAGCTCAGAGTTATTTGCAATGGCGCAGGTGCACTGTGTTCTCTCGAATTCGGATCTTCTGAACTCCTCATCATCTTCAACTGTCTTTCTAACCTGATCTGACTGATCAGTACCTTTCAAATACCTTCACACCCTTTTCTTCCCTATCACCGCTAGTACTTTTAACATCGCTACCACCTTGTGATTTGAACTGACAGATGCGTCTCGGTGCTATAACAGGAAACAAGACAGCTAGTTTACCATTAGAAGCAAAAGCGCAAGAATGTCCCGTCGCTTTTCAAGCACTAAAATTAACGTAATGCAGGAAACGGAGATCGAATGTTTGCAAGAAATTTATAAGCACAGCAAACTTCACAAGATTTCAGTGACTGATGTTAAGTAGGGCACATCAATTTCGGGTTGTATGTACAACTGAGATATTCCCTTAGCTAATATACAAACAGTCCTAAGCACATAATTATTCAGCAAAACAAGTTGACACAAGAATCCTGTATTTAAAAATTTAATGACGTTCCCTCAAAATTTGGTAGGCTAATCTGTCCAAATCACGTCTTCCAGCCGACGTAAGAGATCTTCCTCTGAAAGTAAAATGATCGGAAAATGTCGGTTTTAGCTACATCATTACAATAAAAATAAGGTGTTCATGAATACTGAGAAAATGGACTGACACACTGACTCTTAAAGCTAGTTTAGTGAGGAGATTTAAGTATATATCCGGCGACTAGTCGGCGAAAATCATGTCAATAACTAGCGTTCGTTAAACCTAGTTATCAAATTGTGCTTATTACCTAAATACGTAATAAACAGTGATGAGTGGATCTGAGAGAAATGAATAATGAATAGATGGTTATGAAATGACTGGAACTATCAGGTATTAGTATTTGAAAGACCACAAGGATGTTCATCACAGCATATTTCGTGTTTCGAGAGATGGCATTTGAACAAGCGAGATTGTCATTTGATGCACAGACCGGTTAGCTCATATATTTTCTAATCAGTCAACACTATGATGACGCTGAAAAAAACGATGTATCTAGTTGATGACGTCGATTGTTCAGTACGTGGTTATCTTAAGACTACTTACAGGTATGATTGGCTAGTAGCAACGCATTCCTACATTTTTCTGTTATTAACATACCAGTTTAGGCGATACTTAAATAATCCAACCAACGTACCCATTATCACGCTTCTGGCATAGTCCCAGGGCTTCCATTTGTTGAATGGCTTTCCTTATGACCGAGCAATGGGCAAGGGAACGATGAGATGGTTTTACACCGTTGCGCTTCTTTCTGGAGAATGCTTTGCTCAAGCCAGACAATCCAGTTGGTCGGATGTACAAATGCCTGAGAATGGCAGCACATCGGACATAAAACCAGTCAGGGTTATAAGGTGCTAACTGGTTAGCTGCTGACAGTTTAACAACATCAGTCCATTCAGGTAACTTTACTTTCCCAGTCCTACAAGATAAACGAATTATTTACACACTCACTTCTTCAAAAACTGTGCCAGTGCTTTAACATATACGTGTCCATCCACGTCTTTCACGGAAACAGGAGCCTAGAAATGGGAGATTAGCTGACGATGGAAAAACCCACCATGCGTTGAGCAAGTCAGTCCGCCAGTAGGTAAATGTTGTTTCAAACACATCTAATGAACTACATTCAATTTCCAGTTCTAAGTGGTCGACGAGGTTAGTACAGAAAAGATAATTATTCCGTTTTTTAATAGTATGAATACCTTAGTCACATATTTTTGTTGTTGAATTAATGCATATTGTTACTGAATCTGTTCTACGCGTGCGCTTCGAATTTGACGTGTCCTCGCTGACTCTCTTCCATTTACGGGAAACAATCCACTTTCGGGAAACTTTATAACCTCCGAAGCTATGAAAAAATGTCTCCATTCATTGGTTGACAATCTGAAAACATTTTCGGGCATACGCAACCATTCCAAGTCAGAACCATTGCGCGGTAGGTCTAGCTACCTCATTCAACTGCTCTATTTCTAGTTGCTTCGGCAGCATACATACATCCACTCACTCACAAACACAGGACTTGTGGACAAGTTACTGGATACACGCAAAGTTACTTACTAATACGGTCAAAGGTAAAGTTGCAATTTTGGAGTACTTTCAGGCTCTATTCCTTGTAGTTTTATTATATACTACTAAATTTCTTCTTTCCTGAATTCCTTTTTTGTGTATCTCGTATTCTAATTATCTCGGTATTCACCTCCTAATCTCCCTGGCATCATGTCAAGTAATAAGATGGCTAGTACACTTTACACTGTAACAACTAGGAAAACTTATAGAGGCATAAACCCCGGGGTCGATAGTGCATCGAAAATCCCAATATCGTGCGAACGGGTTGCCAAAAAACCCAAGAAGTCAGTCAATAGTACGCCCCTCAGTGTCCATACTTTAGACCACTCAACCCAGACGCCACTGAGGAAGCAAGACACCACTCCTATTCCTTAAAAGACCAGTAAGCTAGTTAAGAATAGGAGAAAAAGACGCTCCAAGGCTCGATCGACACAGTCCAACGCCCAGAAACAGCTTAAGGACGACTATTTTGCCTGCTCATCACCAGTCAAAACCAGCGACCATGCCTTCGAATGCAATTTCTTTAGTACATGGGTACATTGTCACTGCGACAATACAGTACCTAAAGACGGTTTCATGCTGAGTCACCCCTGCCCATGGTTTTGGTACATCTGCCCTCGGTGTAGAATTTCTGAGGCACTGACAAAGCCACATTTCCCACCTAAAATCAGCCCCAAAGTCCAAACGACCAAAGCGACATCGCCTGGCACTAAACCAGTAAAACAAGTGACCAAGGCAACCACAACCCTGCCTAACACAACGACAAAATTGCCGGTTGTTGTTAACCCCCCAGTATCTGCCAGCAACACCAAAACAATGTGTGAACATGAAGAAGGGAAGGAGCAACACCCCCACTCACAAGCGGCTTCCACCCAAGACCAGGGACCCAATGTCGGTAGGAAGCTTGCTAGAAGGTAGGGCTGCCTTCGAAAAAGAGCAATGGGATAAACTCTGCACAACCCTTGGAATGTGCGACGTCGCAGCCAAAATATGCCGCCTTTTCAAAGGCCAAAATGTCTCGAAAGGAAAACCCCCTCCAATGAGGGTAACTCTTGACTCTGCACGACTTGCTGAAGACATAATCCTTTCATCCCAAAGACCATCTGTCTAATTGTCCTCGCTGACTCGAATCAGGCATGACAAGCCGTTGTCGGTACGTGCAGCAGCCGGAACTGCGCCATGCACCTAAGAACAGACCACCATGGTAGTTCACGGTATACCCGAACTCACCAGCGGTGACCCGGACGAAGCTCACGAGCACGATGTGCAACAGTGGCGATGGCTATCGCGTAGCCTATCCCTCCATACCACGATCGCAGTCTGCATTTCCAGGTTGCCCCACCCGTCACACCTTACGTCTATCAAGTCACCACGCCTGATGGCTGTAACATTTAGGAACCGGGAAGACCTGACCGAAACACTACAAGCTTGGTACAGTTCGAGGAACGATCTGCCTAGCCACATCAGATGTTGTGAGAGCCGACCTAGATCTGTGAGACAACAGCAGGGAGGCCAAAATGAACACATACAACTGATAGTTAAACTAGGTCAACTACCTCTGGCACAAGATATGAGTGAACCAACCGCGCAGGCCAAAAACCTGCAGAGGCCAGTTCCCACAGAACTGGCCGATCCGGTTTAAATAACTTGTCTGAAAATCCGACAAAGGCTGCTGCTGCAAATGTGCACCAGGTGCTGAGACAAACCACCAAGTGCCTCTATAGCAACGTAAGAGGACTAAGGGGTAAGCTGTTAGAAATCAGGAATATGTAATAATAATAATAATAATAATAATTTATTCTCAAATAACAAACATGTTACAAGAGACATGCCAATTTACAGGCAAGATCAAAATGTTGAGATTAGCAACATATACTAGGGCCCAGAAAAGCAAACTGATTGAGGTAATACTGCAACTGCCACTCCTAGGGTTTGATCAAATACTCTTAGCGGTAGATTTCAATACCCCATCTTTAAGTCTCAGCAATCAGAGTATAAATCCCACTGGTTGGTTCCAAAGACAACTTGGTACAGCCATTAGAAGCTCTGGCATGACTGAGCACGTACGCAGCGCCACTAGGTGGACTAAGGAAGGGAAGTCCTCAAACGAATGACCAGCTCCTGGTTGAGGATATTCACATCCGCGCTCCAATAGGTAGTAGTGACCATCGCACAGTCCTGTTTAACATGGTCACAAACGAAACGCTGACACCGGACGATAATGAGCCTTACCTTTGCTACAGTAGGGCAAACTACACACGCATGAGAGAGGTGCTCCTACATGCCCCATAGCCACGGGAGTGGCGGAGGCTGACAGTAGATGATCACTGGCAAGCAGTGAGAGATATCATCCAAAACGCTGTCGTAGACAACGTACCTCAATCACACCCAAAACGCCAGAACAGAAGAACCTGGGTTAGGCGCGGCACGGAACGCTTGCTACAGGCGAAGAGGAAAGCCTGGCACAAGTGGAAGGTCTCCTTGAAGGATTCCGATCGCAGTTCTTACTTGGCATTGAGAAACAGATGCAATACCAAAGTTCGAAGCGACAGGAGACAATTCCAGACGATACTAGCCGCCAGAATAGAGGCAAACCCGAAACATCTGTTTAGGTTCATGTCCAAAAGAAAACCTACTAATCAAGGGTTGTGCCCCCTAAAAGGGCCTAACGGAGAAGACCTCACCAACCTAGAGATGGCCGAAATCTTCAACACCCATTTTTCTGATCAATTAAACCAGGCGCCTACATGTTCAGAGTATTACGCCAACCCAATGCCAGCTGACGGCTTAGGGAACATCCGTATCACTCCTGACCTAGTATTAAGGAAACTAAAATCCTTACGCCCAGGTAAGTCACCAGGTTGTGACAACATCCGCCCTATAGTCTTGCAACAGTGCGCTGAAGCCCTCTATTCACCGTTATGCAACCTGTTCAGGCATTCACTGGAGTCACACCAATTCCCAGCTGAATGGAAACAGGCTACTCTCTCTCCAGTCTTCAAAGGAGGAGATAGAAAGGACCCAGCCTGTTACAGACCAGTCGCACTACTACCTATATTATCAAAGGTTATGAAAGGACTAGTGGACGAACAAATGAGGGAGTACATAGATAAAAATAAAATACTCCATGAAGCTCAACACGGGTTTCGGAAAGGCAGGTCGTGTGCATCTAATCTTCTCATCGCATAGGACAGTTGGACATCCTGCTTGGACCGTAAAATACCAGTGCACGTAATATTTCTCGACTTCGCAAAAGCCTTTGACACAGTGCCCCACGCACGCCTAATCGAAAAGGTTGTGGAAATGGGCTTCACTGACCCGCTCGTATCTTGGCTCAGAAACTACCTCGAGAATAGAAAGTTTCGCACCAAGGTAAACAGGGTGCACGCGAGTTGGAGAGTATCCACTTCAGGAGTTTCACAGGGGACCATCCTAGGCCCACTCCTCTTCCTGATATTCATTAACGACCTGCTAAGCTTAGTTAGCTCACCGGCACTGATCTACGCAGACGATGCGAAGATCTGGAGGTCCATTAGAAGCGAAGAGGATTCGACTGAGCTTCAAAAGGACCTTACATCCATTGAGGAATGGGCAGTGAAAAACGGTTTAAAACTTAACCAACCGAAGTGCCACGTCATGCATTTCCTGCCTCATATGACGCAAACCACCTACTTTCTCAATGGAAGTCCGCTCCCTAATGTCTCCTCAGAGCGCGATCTTGGTTTAATAACCACAGAAAGCCTCCACACGAGTCCGAACTATGTAGGGGATGCAGCCAAGGCAAATGCGACTCTTCACTTTATGCGAAGACAGCTTGGTGCTATAACCCCGAAATTATTTTTAACCCTGTTTAAGACGTACGCGCGCCCACACTTGGAGGTTCACAACGTCATCGCACCCCCTATGCTTAAAAGAGACATTAATCTCTTGGATCGAGTGCAGAGACGAGCAACCAAATGGGTGATAGGGCTGAAAAATAAACCGTACGACGATAGACTCCAGCTCTTGGGATTATTCCCACTGAGCTACAGGAGAATCAGAGGTGACCTGATTATGGCGTACACCATATTAAACACGCCCAACCATCCCAATGTGAGCATCTTACCGATGCATCACCACCACTCCCCTCGAGGCAATCCTCAAAAGATTGCACATCAAAGAGCAAACACTCAGGTTCGTGCACACTTTTTCTCATTGCGAGTCGTCGCAACTTGGAATGCTCTCCCAGCCGAGGTAGTTACAGCCCCCTCAGTGGACTGCTTTAAGAAGAGACTTGATAATCACGTACTCACATGCGGACTATCATCTCCCTCTTGGACAAGCTGTGCCTGATGCATATCTTGAGACCTGCTAGTTGTTACCATTGCCATCTCCTCAGATCACTTAATTAATTTAACTCGCCTATTCCTCTCCCTTGCTTACACTTCGGTCCTCTCTCACAATCTTCACTACCAATTAATAAACTAACTTCATCTATATATTACTCAGTTCTGAAATTTTATTCATATTATCATTAGAATTTTATCCTTATTACCCTTATTACTCTCCACATTGCAACTAACTGATCT